CATTTATTTGCTCATCAGGAGATCATACATATATTGACGTTACATACATTGTACAAAGCTTACATCACTTCTCCGATTTTTTTTTTCTTTTTTCCACAGTTTCTTTTTTTTTCCCCTTCCCTCTTCCTTCCCTCTTTCTTCTCCCCTTTCCCCCTTCTTTCCCTCTTCCCTTCCTTTTCCCCGTAGCGAACATAAATCCCTGTATTAACATAACAAAAACAGGACCAAATAAGTATAATTACATAAAAATAAAAAATAAAAAGGGATACAAAAGGGATACATTAAGAATGCAGGTTTTAACCGGTAGTATTTTCCACAAGCCTGTCTGTAAGTGTTCCTAATTCTTCCCTCCTCTTTGTTACACAGGACGCACTGGTTGGAACAACAAAGTTTAAGGTATGATTCATCCAGTGCTTCATATTAGATAGACAAATGTGGATATTCTGTGTGTTTAGTTCCTGAGACGGTTTGGATGCGTTACAGGTCCAGCTGTACTCTGAACCAGACTTCCAGGGAAGGCTGGTCATCCTGGAGGGCAGCACAGAAGCTCTGGACGATGACTTTAAGCCTCGGTCCTGTAAGGTGTTAGCAGGCAGGTAAGCACCACCCAATTCCCAATAAACAATGCCTCTCTCAGAAAAGAAGAAATTAGATATTTCCAATGAAAAAAGGTTTTCCTTCATTCGCTTTAATGTCCCATTCTAGCAGTTATACATCTCTTAAAATCTTGTCTGTGATACTGGGGTGTTATTCCCATAATATATATATATATAATATTTAACATCTTCTGCAGAACGACCAGACTACTAAATAGTTTCTTCCCCCTGGCCATCAGACTACTTAACGCCACATAACACATACACACACACAAATTTATTGATGTTTCGTTGTAAAAAAAGTCAGTGCAATATATATAAATATAATTCTTTACGCTTAGTTATAGAATAGAATACAATACATATTTATTGTGCATGGTATAAGGTCTTAGCTGTTACTCTGGTAGCCAAGTAAATGACATTTCGTTGGCAAATTCACCTCGTGTTTTTGTGCAATGACAATAAAGGAAGTCTAAGTCTATGTCTATAAAAAGAATAGTTTCATCCACAGTTTCCCAAAAGTTTTATTCAAATTCATTTTACGAAATAAGCTATAGAAGTAGATATTTTCTGACTTAAGTGGAAAACAATTTGACGGCAGTATTGTGTGTCTTTGTGTGTCAGCTGGGTGGCGTATGAGGGGGCCGGGTTCAAAAACAACATGTATGTGCTGGAGGAGGGACCGTACCCGGACACGGAGGCCATGGGCCTCCCGTCCCCAGACCCCGGCCTTACGTCCATGCAGACCACTGGACACGTGAGTGCTTTGTCTTATGTTTATGTTTATGCTTTTATCCAAAGCGACTTACAGAGTAGACACAATATTACATTTCTCATCACTATGACAATAAGCTATATAGAGGAGAAACACTGATCAGAGTCAGTGGTGAGATAGAGATAGAGGTAGAGGGACTACAGAAGGAGCTGTGGGGGGGTAGAGGTACGGGTTAGGGTTAGGATAGGAGCTGTGGGGGGTAGAGGTACGGGTTAGGGTTAGGATAGGAGCTGTGGGGGGTAGAGGTACGGGTTAGGGTTAGGATAGGAGCTGTGGGGGGTAGAGGTACGGGTTAGGGTTAGGATAGGATATGCTCTTTGAAGAGGTGGGTCTTCAAGAGTTTCTTGAAGTTTCTTGAGGGGAATTCTGTTCAGATCGTCGTTTTTGGTCCGGTTTTTGGTTCTAAACTGAACTCCCTCTGCGTGCTACAGGAGCTCTCCCTGCCCTCCATGGTTCTGTTCAGTAAGCCGGGCTGCAGAGGCCGCCGCACGGTGCTGAGGGGCGGGGCTATAAACCTACCGCAGGCCGGCATGAACGCGTGCGTGCGCTCCCTGCTGGTGGAGGGAGGAACGTAAGTCACGCTCTGTTTACTCTGAATTCAAAAGAAAAACTGAACTGAAGAAACGGCTTCTGTCGTTACTTTGTCGTTACAGAGTAAAGTCAACACAGTTGTTTTGTGTTGCTGATTTTGCAGGTTTGCCCACTTACAAAGAATGCAACGATCTATAACTTTAATCATATGTACATTCTAACAGTGAAAGACAGAATCCCAAAGAAAATTCCAGAAAATCACATCATATGAATTTATAAAAATTGATAACTATCTGATGAGGAAAAATAGGCATTCTTTGGAAGTGGGCAAACCTGCAAAATCAGCAAGGGGTCAAATACTTATTTCCCCCACTGTATATTTAAATCATTTGAAGTTCATGTGTTGATTTAGAAGATATAAGAATGTGTTTAAAAACATGTCACTGAGGTGATGAAGCAGCAGAAAGAATGTGGCTATACTAATTTAAGCTCATTTTAATGTTGATTTTCTTGTTGTGTAATTGATTACGCCGTAATGAATTATTACACAGTTATAAATTGCATGAAGTAACCAAATGTACTTATTGCACAAGATTCTAAAAGAAAGATACTGACTGTTTAAATATCCATTCATCCACTAGATTCAGTATCACGTTGTATTGAAGAAGACCAGAACTTAAGACCATAAATCAAAGGGTAAAATGCTCTTAGTTATGTTTGAGGATATATGGCTGGTGTCAGAGTTACAGCTTGCTTTTGCAGTGTTGGTTTATACGGCGGTTCTCTCTTATGAAGACATTTTTTCCCAGTGGTGGAGAAAGTTTAAAAAAAAAGACAGAGTTATGTGGAAAAGTGTACGAACCTGGAATTGATCTCCAAACACCACATTGTTCCCTGCAGGTGGGTGTTGTACGAGGGCAGTAACTACAGAGGCCGACAGCTCCTCCTCCACCCGAGTGAAGTGGGCGATTTGTGCAAGCTGCATGGCTGGCAGCGAATAGGATCCCTCCGACCGCTAAACCAGGTGTGTACGGACGGACATGGAAACAGAAAATCACACCACACATGCTATTCTGACAATAGACATCTGTTTAATTTTCTTCAGTTAAAGATGTATTCCCTTAAGTCAAAATTTGACCAATTTGGGCAACTGTATTCTTACATGAAATCCCCAAATTAAACACAATTTCTTTTATTTTAATGGCCATTCATATGCTAAATGCTATTTTCTTAAAGCCTTTTCTTTGGGATGTCTCCCAACAGAAGCAGATGTACTTTCGGCTGC